TGAGAAACTGACCTGGCCTCTACACACCATCAACCATGTGAACTTGGGACATTAAAAACAGCACAGAAGTTTGGAAACGGCCCACAAGAACTTGACATGCAGCCTTGAAGATGATGTTTTTTTTGTTTCGGCTTTTTGTTTTATATTCTTAATGTTCAATTAAAGGTATCGCCTACTCCTGCATTTTCATTGTCTCAGATCGCATAGTTTTGATAGACAAACCTATAGGCAGAAATAACCTGCTTCAGTGATGCTGCAAATGCTAAGGGCAAGGGACTAGAGATACTATGTGTGTATGTAGAGCATAAATCCTTCCCTGTAGCCAAATATACCCTGATAAAAGAGGATAGATACCCTGTTTCCCCAAAAATAAGCCCTAACCCAAAAATAAGCCCTAGTTAAGTGAAACCCCACCCTCCACCCTTGTGCAGCCACAGATGATGATGACATGACTGTAAAATAAAACATCCCCTGAAAATAAGCCCTAATACTGTACGTTTTTTGGAGCGATAATTAATATAAGACCCTGTCTTATTTTCGGGGAAACACGGTAATAGCATGTTGACAGCAAAACTCTAAACAGAAACAGGTCCTATTGCTTTCCATGGGGTTATTCGCAGTTAAGTGGGTATAGGATCACACTGTAAATGTTCTATATATTTAAAACATCCTGTTTTCTTTGAAATATGTGTGTGTCCTTTATCTAAAGCCTTCCGAGGCACCTAAAAATAGGATTTAAAAGCAATTAAAATACTTGAGCAGCAATGTAAAACATAGATGTAGAAGCCAGTCCCAAAAGCTACACTTTACATATTAGCAAAGCAAAATGGAATTTCATAACAGATAGCAATTCCCGCGAGTTGATTTCATAAAAAGTATGGTTTGGATAGGAAAAAGGGGTTGAGGGTTTCCAGTATCAGCCTAACTAATTTATCTTTGATTGCACATACAGTAGTATATTATTCACACACATACTCTTGTCTTATTGGTGAATCATATAACATGCAAATATATCTCATAGCTGGGTTTACCCCAGACGGTAAATCTGTGATAAATATCCATGGGTTCAAAACCTCATGTTTATTTTACCTACAACAGGTAAATAAAGATCCAGCCAAAACCTACATCTAAAGAGAAAAAGAATGTCTGTCCAGGTTCCTCGAGCAGAATATATTCAAATTCTTGGCTTCTGACCCCATGGAAGAACCCAAAGTTTCATGTTTTGTCACCTGCTTCCTCACTCAGCAGATTTTCCCCCCCTCCGGGCTGTTTGTATTTCTCACAGATCCACATCCGTGACTCTCTCGCTCTCCATTCATCCCTTTTGTTTGTATCCCTCAGCTTTTTTAAACCACCTCACAAGTGACAAAGAGAGAGAAGATTTTGAAACCGGGCTCCTCGCTGAGGGCTGACCGTGCCAGACGGGCCATAACATGCCTCGCTTCGCTCCACCTGGGCAAAGAGGTGAGGCAAGTTAAAAATTAAACTCCTCCAGACTTCAGCTAGAATGGAACGGAATGACTTGGTGTTGAATCACTAGGGATGGCCAGCCTGAGAAAAAAAAGGATCTCAACCTGGAGACAGGTTGTTGCGTCACAGGACGGTCGTATGATAGATGCTTCTCCTTGATAATTAAAAAAAAAAAACCACAGAGGCAGGGTTGAAGTCATCTAGACTTCTCTTCCCCTTTCCTAAAGACAAGCTTTGTTTTTGCTCCAGGGCATTCAGTAGCGCAGGAAATCCCAGACACCGGGGTCAAAGCCCATGTTACCTGGATCCAAGCATCCGCTTTTGCTGGAGGCAACTCGCTCAGCCTTTTCTTGGCCTCAGGCTCACACCGTACCGTATGGTGTTAAGCCGCCACCGTGCCAAGAAGATCAATGTCTACAATCCTGATGGACGCCAGTGGTTTCGTACCTGGTGGGGTTGCTTTTCTGCTGCAAAACGTCCAGCTCCTGTGAGGCTGGACGGCAGGCATGTTGGCCCATCTTTGGATCTGAGGCCTAAGGCTGAGTCTTTGGTACCAAGCACCCAAGTCTGATTCACTCATAGTCTTCACCAAATTACCAGCCCCTCTGTCTCAGCCAGATGGCTGCCATCTGCAATATTGATGTGGTGGCCTATATCCAATTGCTTTCCAAACTAGAGCAGATCCACTGGATAAACAGGATAACAATTGGGTTTAGGTCGTTATATTCCAATCTGTCAGAGAGGTATCAGAGAACTCTTGGGGTAAATCCATCAAGCTCTTTGAACTTCCTAAAGCAGTGGTTCTCAGCTTTGGTTCCCCGGAGGCTATTGGGCTAAAACTCCCAGAAGCCTTCACCACGAGCTGTGGCGGCCAGAAGTTGTGGTCCAAGAACATCTGGAGACCCAAGGTTGGGAACCACTGCTCTAAAACTCTCTATAAATGCTAACAACTCCCTATAAACGCACTATTGCTCAAACGTATAAGGACACCCATGTACAAAAAGCAACCCCAGATGGATCTTTTTGCTTCCCCCATCTCTTCCTTCTGCAGCGTGCCTCTCAACTTGGAGTATTGAAAGTGTAAGGACTCTTCCGGCCTACAAACAATGGCACTAAAAACTCCCGGCAAACGAACCCTCAGCATGTTGGTCTTGTCATGATGTCACTAAATAATTTGTCAGGGCACGCAGGAGATCTACAGGGAGCGTACGGGGTCACAGAGTAGGTGGAAGGACCTCACCCAGTGGACTCATGTTCTGAAACAGAAAAGCTCTCTTCCGGTGGTCCTAAAGGGCCGAACAGAAGAGTTCAAAAAATCTCAACAGATCCCAGCCATGTTAAAGCAGCTGCGCTCGTGGGGACATGTCATTAAACCACAACTTTTCCGGAATATTTTTAGGTTGTAGCAAGTCTTCAGGGGAAGAGAATTCAGTGAATGTGAGGCAGCTGTCAAGGACGATCCTGTAATGAACGAACGGGTGCTCTTCTTGCCAATGCTATTATCCCCACTCCCCAGGGCTAGCTTATTGTTGACTCCTAATCCTAAATAAAAATTCTCAAGGTATGGAGATGGTATGAAGTGACGGCAAAGCAGACACCTCCCACCGACACAGGCCTTTGCGGGGGGGGGGGCGGTGTGTGTGGACAAAGCACGGCAATGGAGAACCTTCCTTTGGTTTCTGCTCAAGATTTCCTAGAGGCTTGTTTCAGCCTTCCAAACCCAGCCTCAGCATTGTATATTTGAAATGCCCATGGAGGGCAGAACTCGCAACGTGAAGAATTCTCCCTTCTTGGCCAGTCTAAATGATCCCAAAGTCTTCCGGAGGCTTGTCTTGAGAACTATTCCAAACCGGAGCCACTTTTCGCCTATGCTTTGCTACCAAGTTCAAAGTGCCAACGTTTCAGAGCCTTATAATGACTGGGTGCAACCTTCCGTGGCCTGGAAAGGGTGAATCAGCCTAATCCATAATCTCGTTTCCTGCTTCTGTAAAAGATCAGCGAGCGCAGCACAATCCCTTCCTCTCCCTTCTTCTCTGTACAATAAATCCAGATATACAGGTTGATGACAGCACTCTGCCATTCCCACATGCATGCCTTCCTCAGAGATAAGACAACGTGGTTCCTATCCTGGATTCTTATTACAGAGACCCATTGGAGGGAGACACGGACTATGGGCTGGCTAATTTGTGTGTGTGGGGGGGGGGGAATTAGTTACTGGTAATTTACCAATTTCAATGAGTGTGTCAGGCAGCCACGGCGAGCCATGTCCCACTTTCACTCTGAAACAATTTTATAGACTCTCCCATTCTCTAAAGTTTCAAAATCTTTAAAAGTCAACTTAAGTTGAAGAAATTCTTTATTTTAAACATTCACTCTCTTTTTTTCTACCAAACAAATGAAATTTGTGATTGATTACCCCCACTTCCTCCTAATGTTAAAGAACCTACCTAATGTTAACCTAGCATGTTTTAATAGCTGTGATTGAGCCCCTGAATCCTGTTTTTTTTTCTTCTAAGTGTGTTCTCGAAGTTTTCGAATGCTTTTCAGTGGTTCTTAACCTTTGTTACTTGGATGCTTTTGAACTGCAACTCCCAGAAACCCCAGTCAGCACAGCTGGTGGTGAAGGCTTCTGGGAGTTGCAGTCCAAAACTCCTGAGTAACCCAAGGTTAAGAACCAGTGGATTGATTGATTCATTTTAACTATTATTGTATATTTAATGGCTTTTCCACCTTGTAATTTACTGTGGTTTTAGTTTGACTCCTTTTAACACAGTGAGCCATCTTGGGTCCCCTCACTGGCAGAAAGGCAGCCTACAAATAAATAAATAAAAATTGCATTTTAAGAAGACACTTGAGATGAATAGAGGCAAGTCAACCAAGACCTTCCATTTCCTTAAATGTATTAAGCCATGATAGCTCAAAGAACTGCTGGATACCTGGGTGGTTGAGGTCTCCAGCTGCAGAGCCAGAAGATGGGAGTTCAATTCCCCCACGGGGGCTGGACTAGATGATCCACAGGGTCCCTTCCAGCTGTGCAATTCTGAGATTATTAATTATGGCATGATAATTGTGAACAATTTAAATTAGAGAACATTATAGTGCAGCAGATGAGAGCCAGTGTGGTGTAATGGCCGACTGTTTGACCAGGAACCAAGAGACCTGGGTTCAAATCCCCACTGAGCCACTAGGAGTAAACCACTCAGGAAATATCTCACAGTCTTTAAAAAAAACCCACCTCCTTTGATTGCCCCAAATCAGAAGCCGCATGGCAGCACAAAAACCAAAGACCAGCAAGTGCGGACAGAACATTCTTCCATTCCGCAATCATCCCATCGACGTGACCTACCCAGGCCAAATCTCTATTTCACCCTCAGTTTGTCATCTGTTAAAGGAAAACAATAGCGAACTATCTCACCAGGAAATGACCAAGAGAATGGACTGTGAGGAGACAATAAGACCTGCACGGTGCCTGTGTCACATAACAAGAGGAGAAATCGGCTAGTCACCCTGCAAAACCTCATCGTACTTGCCTTTCCAGGAATATACTGGAGTATTTTGTCTGAAGTAACGTCCCTCTCCTGTCCTGGTTCAAAGCCGAAAAGGCCAGTGAGCTTTTTCTTGCTGTCTTGCCTGCAAAGCAATCAAAAGGTACAGAATCAGAGAAGATCAAGGCAGGCAAGACGGCATCAGTGAAATTAATTTTCTTCCCCCTCAAGACTATTAAGCACCCAAATGCTTGAGTTTTTCTTTTGTTCTGTTTTGCTTCATCCTCTCTGAGCCCTTCCCCCCACCCCACTGCCCCACCTCATCTCGGGAAAGGAATACACAGGGCTTCCCTGCTATGGATGGTCTATCAGGTTGGAAGGATGCTTGTTTTAGGGTTAGACTGAAGTCGAAGAGGAGGAGGGTCCCACATGGCAGATTTAATGTGCAGGCTTTTCTCCTTCCTTTTCACAGTTTTGCACACATGGCAGCACGTGGAGAACCAGGCACGCTCTCTATTGTTTTTGAAACAGGTGAGTTTATCTCAAAGAGCAAGAGGAACGTTGATGGCACAAAAGGTTCCAGAACCCATACTGCACAGAGGAATCAGACCTGCATCGAACCACCTAGATGACTCGAAAAGGACAGTAAAGGAGACGGAAGGGCTGACGAGCTGACATGGTAGAAAGCAGCTTTCTAGGTATGCGCTTTGCTTTGTTCTGTGATGCCTTTTGGCTCTTCTGTTCTGAGGTTGTAAGGACAGGGAGGGGAACAGCCTAGTCTCCCTTAGCAGGGAGTTCCACAGGTTTAAAAACATAAATCACAGCATGGCTGGATCAGAGCAAAAGCCTAACAATTCCAGCTTGAGTTTCCCACAAGGGCCAGCCAGATGCCTCTGGGAAACCCACAAGGGGAACACAAACACATGTAAATCCGTACCTAATCCTGCCGGATCTCTTTAATTGGTAGCATCCTTCCGCCTATATTTCCTCAACAGCCACTACTGAGAGACATACTTGCTAATGGAAAGCATCAGGAAACTTCGGCAGGTCCAAAATGCAGCAGCCAGATTGCTGACTGGGGCAGGTTACAGGGATCACATAATCTGCCCCTCTCTTACAGCAGCTCCACTGGCTGCCGATCTGTTTCCAGGCACAATTCAAAGTGCTGGCTTTGACCTGTAAAGTCCTCAATGGCCTGAGTCCAAGCTATCCCAAGGACTCCCATCCTCTGTGGTTACTCCTAGACTTTGGAACTCCCTCCCACTTGAGGCCAGCCTGGCCCCATCTTTGCTGTCCTTCCGCAAGCAGGCAAAGACCTTTCTCTTCTTTCAGATGAATTGTTATGCATTACTGCTTTGAGTGGATTTTTAGGACTACTCGTGTTTTTCAATTTTCGGTTTTCCGTTTCTCAGAGTGACATTTAGTGTTTTTTCTTTCTTTTTAATATTTGTAAACTTACTGTTCTTAGGTTTAATGTTGCATTTTAATGATGTAAGATGCCTCTTTATACTCATTGTTCTTAACTTTGAGTATAAAGGGGCATCTTACATTTTAACGATGTTAACCTCCATTGTTACTCATTGTTTTCAAGTTTAAACATTATCTTTCAAGGCGAAAAGCGGGGGTAAAAATATTTAAAATAAATAAATAACCAAGCCCTCATCCTAGAGGTAATACAGACCCAGAGAGGCCAGCAACCTCATCCTCCATCCTTCACTTATTTTATTCTCCCCTTATTGTGGACCCTTCAAATCAGGCTGTCTTCCCTTCACTTACGGGGTCAGGCCAGCTGTGCTTAGTCAAAGTGGTTTCAGCTCTTGAAAGTAAATAACCCTTTGTGTCTGGAAGGGAGTTAAGGTGTTTATTTTTGTTTAACTCAAGTATCCTTGCTAGTTGTAGGCTGCATCACTGCAAAGAGGATAACATATTCTTGAAATATATACAGTGGTGCCTCGCTTAGCGATTGCTTCGTTCAATGATGAATTCGCATAGCGATGGCTTTTTTTTGAAAATTTAATGCATCGTATATCTTAATAATCAAAGTTTTGAACACCAAATGCTGAGGTTGCTACTTTTGATTGGCTTGGAAAATAAGTGGTCCTCATTCTGATGGTTAGTCAATCGAATTCCTTCCCATCCTGTCTGGTGAGATAATTCAGCAGATTTCAGTGGAACTAATAGTAATTGTTTGTGCCATCAAGTCAATTCTTAGTGATGGAAATCTATTCTAGGTATACGTGTTGAGCCCTGCTGTCCCATGAAGTTCCAGATTTACCAGATGACCCTATTTTCTCAACCACATACATTGTTCAAAGCACTGCCACTCCTGCCCCAAGACCAAGGTGCAGAAATACTTCCACCTTTGCACACATTGAAGTGTTTGCCCAGTTTATCTTGAGGTTACCCCAACTGTTTTATTTCATGGACCATCCCATCAAGACTGTATCCCTGGCCAGATGACAACTCAGCTCTGGAACTGATTCACCAGCCTGGGCAACCAGATCGAAGACCCTAAAAGCCACAAGCAAAATCCCATTGCATTTTCTAACTTCAATCTATGGATGAGCAAACCTTGTTGAATTTTGCAGTCCGTGTTGCTCTTCTGTCCTAGGCTAGTGGCTACCCCTATATTCGTTGTGTGAAATGTCACACCCTTGACTGGCACTCACAAAATGCTACTTGGTGGAGGACCAGGTTCTCAATTACCCTGATGTTCCATCTGGAAATTATTTGGGAGTCTTGAAGCATCCCCTTTTCGTTTTGATCTCTTTGTGGAGAAGGGCTTGCCCTGTTTCTCTGTCAGAGGAATCTGCCTCCTTACAACATGTAATGGCCAGGACTGGCCCAAGATACTTAGCTGCCTGAGACAGAATAGTCATTGGCACCCACATCCTATCCCACAGTACTCAAAGCTGGCCAGTTACTCTGGCAGAGAAGGCAGAAAATTCAGAATGCAAGCAATAATTAGCAAGAATAATTAGCAAGAATAATTAGCTGATAATTTGAGACTGTTTATGATATTCAAAACCTGTGGTATTCAGAATCTGCTGTTTAAAGCAGCAGCCTCACTTTGCCTAATGGTAGGGCAGCTCCCAATTAAGTGTCTCTTAACCAAGCTCCACCATGGGACATTACAGGGATGAAAGTATCTACATGGTGCAGGAGGATGCCACACTGCCTGGCTGCAGTCCACGAACAACATAGCATATGCTGTTAGATCACTAGTAAAGTTCCACCGAATATATATACTTCGAAACAGGGTGACCTTTCACAAGACAAAAAGGGAGTCCGAATAGGAAATGGGATGAGATTTACGGGTAGGTCTTAAATGTAATGGCTGAAATCCAGTCGAACCTCACAGCTAGAGCTGGCCTATAGAATCAGTGGGCCTTTGTTGCGTCAACTCCTCCATACACTCCATTGATTCAATGGGGCCTACTCGAGCTGTGACTTGCCACTGGATTTCAGCCAAAGATTAACACACAACTTGTGGGCTGTTAATTTGACTGGCACAAATTCTGCTGTGCCACAGTCCATCAAAGCCCACACTATGATAAATGTGTTAGTCTTTGAGGTGTCATAGGAACTGATGGATAGCTGAGTGACTTAGGTCTCTGGCTGCAGAGCCAGAAGTTGGGAGTTCGAATTCCCCACCGTGTCTCCTTGACAGGGGGCTGGGCTGGATGATCCAGAGGGTCCCTTCCAGATCTGCAGTTCTAAAATTATTGTTGTTAATTCCTTGTGGTGCAACTGAAATCTGTTACAGTGACTATCCAAAGGGGTGGCTGGGAGTGTGTTTGTGCATCCTGGGCGTCTTAAACTCTAATAGATTTATTGGAGCATATGGTTTCACGCCCACTTCCCTTGATGAAGAGGGCGACAGTCCACCTAACCTTAATGTTGCAATAAATCTCTTGGTCATTAAAGATTCCACAAGACTCTGGTTTCATTCTGTGCATGCTCAAAGAAAATGATATGCGTGCACACAATTTGGAAGCTTTTGCCCTACCATAAACATATTACAAGAAGGAAATAACAATAATTAAATATGTTGCACCTCACTGGGTGTAAATGGCACTGAACTGAGTAGGGTGTACCTCTGAGCAAACATATATAGGCTTACTCTGAATATTAAGGGTAGGATATAAACCTGATCATTTTTTGGGGGAAGCATAGATTTATAAATAAAGTGGGACCAAATGCAGCCACACCATTATTTAGAGGATTATAAACATTCGTTTTCACCAACATTGCTTTTGTGTCTGATTTTGTAAAGCGCTTTTGAATCCTGAAATGTGCCACACACACAAAAGCACAAATCACAGCAAATTATTAGGATTATAAATCCCACCAAAAAAAAAATCCTATAAAGGGGGATGCAATTCTAGCTTCCTACAGGGAAGGATGTATTTTAATCTCTGAAACTTAATTAAATTTGGACATTCATGACAATAGATTCAATATTGACAAGATTTAATCTATTTAAATGTTTAATTTGTGACAATAGATTATATATTGTCTTTCATTGTTGTAAACCACCTTGGGTCCTTTTCAAAGAGAAAGGTGGGGTAAAATATTTTTAAATAAATAAATAAATAAATAAAAATAGTTTTTGTACATAGACCCTGTATTTAAAATCTTCATTAAATGGCTACTGCTGTCGTAACCATGAACTTAGGGTGCAGTTCTAAAGACACTGAGAAAAGGAGTAAGCCTCACTGAATCTAGTAGGACTTACTTCTAAGTAAACACACCTAGTCAGATGGGGCAACACAGCAACAGTTGCACTATCTTTGAAAGTTGCCTCCATGCTCAATTAAAATCATTTAAAAGTAGACAGACCACAAGCTTATTCATACTCTCTTCATTCAAACAAGAAAAAAATATAAACAGATTTTTTTAAAAAAAGAAAAGTTGTGCTTCTTCTCTACACCCAGTTTGTGGATTTAAAAAAACACACACAAATCTTCACAATCAAACCTTCCAGACGGGCTCCGAGAGAAATGTCAAGTTCTCGGAGCGTTCGGTCCCATAAATTCCAAAGGAAAAGGACTTTTTTTCCCGGCTGCCCAACTTTTCCGGGGAGAAGCCAAGCCAAGAAACCCAAACAGAACAGAGGGGAAAAAAAAACTTTTTCCTTCGAAGGGCACCGTCACAGACTTCCTTGCTTTCCCGATCGCTTTAAGGGAATTAAGAACCCAAGCCTTGGGAGCAAACCGTGCCGCCTAGGTCGAGAGACGGAGCTACTCACTCTTTCCTGAGCGAGGGTTTCCGAGAGAAAGAATATCGGAACCTCCCCGGCGCCTGGGGAACGCAAGCCATGTTCCCCATGTTGCTGGAGCGAGCGGCTTGGATAATCCACGGGAACAGCTGGGAGAACACTGAAGCAAAGGAGAAGAAAAGGGGGGGGGGTGGAGAAACAACCAAGGAGGGAGGAGGAAGAGGAGGAGGGTGGAAAAGAAAGAAAAGAAAAGAAAAGAAAGAAAAAGAGGCTGGCTGGCTGGCGAGGAGCGCCCCGCCGGCAGAGAGAGAGCGAGAGAGGGCGCGGAGCCCGGCCGGGCGGTGCGGTGCGGGGCGCGCTCTGCAGACCTTTCTTTCCCCGCTTCCTCTCTCTGCGGGGGTGACTCTTCTGGGCGGGGGCGGCGAGCGGGCAGTTCGCAGCCTTTGGGGCCACCGGCGGTGTGGCTGCTTGCTGGGTTTCTCTCACTTCCCCTCCCGAGGGAGTTGACACACTTAAGAGTCGGAGGAGGAGGTACCAACCCTGCCTTGGCGCTGCGGCTGCTTTTTTTGTTTGTTTCGTTTTGTTTTATTGCTGCTGTTGCTCCAGCTGCGCTGGAGTGCGGGAGCCCTTGATCTCTGTAAGAGGCCGAGGGGAAAAAGTCTTTCTCGCAGGGGACACCGGGGGGGGGAGTTCCTTGCCAGTGTCATCCGTCGGCAGCTAGAAAGACTCCCAGCCAGGGAGGTCTTGAGCGCATCTGATTCCGCCTCTGTTCGCTCGTCTGGCGAGGAACCTGCTTCGTCCTTCGAAGGAGGCGTCCAAAGGAGGAATGGGAGGGCAGGACTGAGTTTTGGGCACAGCCAGGGGTCTGGCTGGAGCAGCTTCAGGTGGCCCGCCTGGGGTGGGCGCCCTGAAAAGGAAGCAAATGGTGTCAATCAGTCATCATCATCTTTAGAATGACGGAGCTGGAAGGGGACCCATAGGGTCAAGCTCCTGTCCGTGGGGAGGCCCAGTGGGGGGGAATCGAACTCCCAACTTCCGGCTCCGCAGCCAGAGACCTAAATCACTGAGCTGTCCGGAAGCTGTTGTTATTGCGACGTACACCCAAGTCCACCCAGAGGTGCTTATAAGGTTTTCAGCCCCATATGCTAAAATACTGTACCTGGGCTGGCTTTGGGCATCAGAGCCACTTGGAGGGTGGAAGGTGTGCGTTGGTGGTGTTGGAGACCACTTGCTGTCCCGTCTCAGGTGTCTGGCCGGGGCCAGTCCTGGGTATGGTTTGGAGACAGTGGAAAATCACAGGGTGGTTTCCCCATGCTTACTGTCTCCTAGTAGTCCCCAACCTTGGCCCTCCAGATGTTCTTGCACTACAACTCCCAGAAGCCTTCACTACCACCTGTGCTGGCCAGGATTTGTGGGAGTTAAAGTCCAAGAACATCTGGAGGCCCAAGGTTGGGGACCTCTGTCCTAGCAGACTGCAGCGTCATCTAACAAAGTTGCTTCAGAGAAAATAGTGCTTGATTCAAGGCAGAGGCAATTAACTGCTGGGATTATCACTGTGCCATCGATAAACCTTTTATGGAATTGGGAACCTAGTCTATTTTGTTTACTTGCACACATGCATATTTAAACATTATATTTTAAAAATATGCATTGTCATAGGTAGCATACAAATTTTACCATGAAAGAATACTCCAAAAATAGTACAGCATCACTAACTCGGGGTATACAGAAAAATCAATATAAGAAGGCATTCTGGATTTTTTTTTCTTTTAAAAAAGAAGGGTTTCCAAGATACACTTAAAAGCACAAAGGGAGCAGGCTATTTGTATGTTCTAATATTTCAGCTTACATTTCATTTTTCTCACCATGAATGTAAGAGTGGTTTGTACATAGCTGTCCTCACCTCTGCTTTTATCTGCACAACAAACCTGCGAGGGGGATCAGGCTAAGAGGTAGAGGTGGGAGTGGTGAGTTTCATGGCCTTGGAAGGACTTTCGTTTGGACTTCCCCGATCTCTAGCCCGGTGCTTTAACTACCTGGATTTTGGTTGAGAAATCCAGCAAAGGTACTTCTCAACAGAAAGAAAGAATGCCCTTGAGTACCAGCTGTTGTGCAATGATAAGGAGAAAAGTCCAGCAGAAAGGGGGGGGGGATGCTGTGTGGTCCTTGAACACAATCTGAAAAACAAGGATAGGTGATATATATTTGTTAACAATAATAATGGTGTGTTGTCAAGTCAGTTCTGCCTTAGGGTGATCTTTAGCAGAGTTTCTTAGGAAGACAGTACTCAGAAGTGGCCTTGCGCTGTGCAACTTGCCCAAGGCTACACGGGCTGGCTTTTCTCCTGGGATGCGCTGTGGGGGATTGAACTCTTGACCTCCACAGCCAGGTACCTGACTCACTCAGTTATCCAGCCAGATCAACACCTTTATTAGATCACTTTTTAAAAAAATCACGAACAGAAGCTAGCTGATATACCAGTATCTGGACTTCTGAACTATCTGTTTATCGTCTGGTGTGCGGAAACAGACAGGACAGTCCTGTGTGATTTGCAGAAGCAAGGGAGTTTTCGTGCTGGATGAGCCAAGAATCTTTTCGTCTTGCGCCCCCCCCTCCGCACCGCACCCCCATTAATAGGTCTTGAACCCCTGTCCAAGGGAAGGCTGCAGATTTCTCTGCAGATCTTCTGCCAAGGGGCAAAAGAGATGCCTTTAGCTTTGGGGTGGAAATGGTTTGCTTCTCTCTCCCATTGAACGTGAGGGTCAGACACAGAACCTTGCATCTCTTGCCAAACAATGTCTGGCTTCCCCCTGATTTGTTGGCTCTCTTTGGCACAGACTAAACCACTTCTCAGCTGCAGGACACAGCACTTAAAGGAAGCAAAAACAAAACCGCATCCCAGTGCTTCTGGTCCTGGTAACAAGGTCCTCTTCCTTTTTTCCCCTTTTTTCTTTTTGGTTTTTGTTCAAAGACTGTCTGTCAGTTAGCGACAGGCTCAACACTTGTGGAGAGGGGACTTTATGCAACTGGTGGTTATTTATAGAAATCCAAGACTCGAGGAAGGGGGCCCGAAGAGCAATGCACAGCAGGTGGGAGGCTGGGTAGGAAAAAAAATATTCCACTGACTGATCCCATATACATGCCTACTCCAGTTTTACTTCCCCCCCAAATCTTCCCTGCCCATATTAATCTTCCAGTGGGAATTAGGATGCATGCTTTTGAGTTCCACAGAATTCTTCTTCAAGTTAAGTATGTGTCATAGTTTTAAACAGAGTGCACAGAATAAATCCGGTATAAACACCCATCATATCAGCAATACTGACGACTTGTTTTCCAGCACAGATTCAGAGTGTCATCACTAATACTTCCTAATGAGCTCACTGTCATCTTCAATAGGTTGATCAGGGAAACAAAAGCAAAACAGATGTTAATGACCAGCAGCATTAAGGCAGCTCAGTGGTTTTCCTCCCATCCTGCAGATCAGGCAATTGAGGCTGAGAGACTGTCGCCCTTGGGCAAGCCCCTTACCATGGTCAAATACAAAATGGAGGTGTGCGGTTCCTTTATTTAATCAAGGCGCCATACAAAGACCTATAGAAGCCTCTCACTTAAAAGGCAGCAGAACAACCTTGCCCCCCCCTTTTCAGAAGAAAAGTCCCTGCAAAGAAAACACTTGAAATACTGTACTGTGTCCCTTTTCCAAATAATGGTGTTGATAGGCTGGATTCAAGTTTCCTAGAAATTGCTTTAAAAAGGAAAAATCAAAACAGGCTAGAGCCAAGGGTGTAAAGATGCCCCTTCGCAAACTGATAGAGGTAAATTAGCAGGAAGCACCTGCCACCCCATCGCAGCCTCCAGTCTCTGCTCCTCCCTGTCTGTTGTGGAATGAATGCACTCTGGCCCTGGATGGAAAGATGGGAGTCTTGACTGACAGCAGCTGCTGAAACTCTCCCCAATTTGATCCAGGGCAGATTTCCCCATCTGTCAAATGAAGGTGACAGGACAACTCCTGCCCGAGGTGGGAGGATATATCTGGGTCGTGGCCTCCAAAGGGAAAGGAAGAAGGTTCTTGAATGCATTGTTTGATTCTTACCCAAGGCAGAAAGCTGTCAGGGGAGAACAGAACTCAGATATCTTGAGGTGCAGAAGCTGGTGTGAACCCTTTCCCCCCTAAAGGGGCCACTAGATGATGATGGTGGACCCAAAATGATTTCGAAGAATTTGATCAAAAAATATAGAAACCAAGGAACATGCGTCATGCACTGCACCCCAAAAGTGATGTGGACAGATTACATTTACCACAAAAAGTTGGAATCCGTGGATTACTGCAAATACACCTGGTAGCCGAGGAGGAAAAAAGAAGCCTAAATGATTATATCAATAAAATTGGAGAAAAATTACTGAAGGCGGTGAAAATGAAGAATATATTGAAAACAATAGGAAACAAAGGCTCAACATAAGAAACAACAATTTGAAAATAAATTAAACAGTTGGGAAAATAAACCACAAGAGGGACAACACCTGAGAAATATTGATGGAAAGCATGATAATAATTCAACATGGGCATGGCTAAAACTGGGGAGATCTTATGAGATTTCCAGATCCAAACTAATAAGACACCTTGAACATAACACACCAGACATAGTAGTAATAGAATGAATATAGGTCTGGACCATTGGCATTGCAATTCCAGGGGATGCCAGAGTTGAAAATAAAGAATTGGAAAAACAAAATACAGAGACCTGGCAATTGAAACATCTCACTTGTGGATGAAACACACTTCAAAGGTCCACATAGTCATCAGGGCTTTGGGAATAATTTCAAGAAATTTCACACAGTATTATAAGCAGTTGCAGACCTCAGAAATCACACCATCAGAGCTATAAAAAACAGCAATATTAGGAACAGCATACCTACTATGCCGATATTTAACAGATCCTTAGATTTTTGGTTAAAATTTGTATGTTATATAATACCAGTCAACAGTTTTATAGTTTTGATTGACTGTGCCTGCTATTTTTGAATATATTTGAATACTAACAACATAACAATCATCATTACGATCTTAGAACTGCACAGCTGGAAGGAACCCTAGGGAGAAGAAAGACTGGGACAAAAGCAGGACTGGTCCCATTGGATCTTGCTTCTTAGCATCCTTTACTGTTAAATCACACTTGGGGCCAATAGCCCTTAAAACAGAGACCATTAAATAAAGGAATGTCCTCTTTAAAGTTGGATGCAGCCATATGCTGGGAGTCATGCAGATAAACTACTGATGTTTTTACACAGAAAAAGGGAACACCTAGTTCTGTGTGAACTTCGTTGAACCCGAGCATCTTTAAGAAGAGAGTATTAGGACGCCCTCTCCTGGCTCAACCTATGCCGGATCATAAAACCATTCTATTATGTTAGTTCTGTAAGCACAAGGGTGATGCAGTGATCTCAAAACAGTGAGCTATCTAAATGTTTCGGCCTTCAAATGCTTTGGAAAGCCAGAAAATCACATTGGTAACATCTGAAGGGCAGCAGGTCACAGTGACAGTGAATACAACATGTCCCCCAAAGAGAATATAAAACAGCCCATGTCAGCAAAACTAGTTCTAGGAAGTTTTCACCTCCACCAACAGAAGGCTGTGTTGCAACACTAGAAAATATGCCAGCAGAAAGATGAACAAGTGGATCCTAGATCAAATCAAGTCTGAACTCTCTCAGGAAGCAAAAATGGAGAAGATGAGACTGTCCTTCTTTGGGCACATCCTGACAAGGCAGAATTATCTGGAAAAGACAGTAACGCTGGAAAAGGTGGAAGGCAGCGGGAAAAGAGGAAGTCTCAATATGAGATGGATCGACTCTTTAAAGGAAACCACAGGTCTCAGGTTTAAAAGAGCCGAGCAGGGCGGTTGAGGGCAGGACATGTTGGAGATGGCTCATGTATGGGGTCACCGTAAGTCGAGAATTAATTGACAGCATGTAACAACAACAAATCGTGGAGATGGCCCAGCAGGTGAGGTGCTAATACTAATTGCACATGTTGGTCCCTTCAGGTAAGGAGTTGGAAGTTGCATGACAGAATCATTTCAGTGGGGAAAATTTGGCAGGTCTGTGTGCAATATACACACGCACATGAACATGGCCTCTATATTTGCTACATGCAGCGGACTACGGACATTTTGGCCCAAAACATTAGAGACTGGAGGTGTCAGAAAACTAGAATGATTTACAAAACCAGAAACAGACTTCCGATTTAGTTTGGGGGAACTGTTGCAGCCCATGATGTAGTAGCTTAGAGGGCCTGTGGATTAAAAATCAAGATTAATGACAGAGAGAGGGATCATGGTATTCAAGAAAAAGTTTTTTATTGTTATTATTATTTTATACACTGGCTTGTATTGCTCATATCCCCACCCCGTTATAGTGCAAAAATTGAGAAACACAAAATAACATTGAAATGCACATAAATACAGTGACACGCACTTACAGATCAAGTCAAACAAACAAGTGAACAAAGAAAAAGGCTCTTTTAACGTTGGGTAACGGAGCTGGGAACTTGCTCTATGGCTAAGCCAGAGCCTGTTATTTCCAAAAGGATGTTGAGGAGGAAATGGTTTTACAGATTTATCTCCTCCTGTTTGTCCTTCATCTTGTTTTTGTGGCAATCCACGGACAATACGTATTCAAACTCGGGGCAACAAGACACACACACCCCTAAAGGCCTGTGGTGGCGGACAACCACCAAGGATGAAAAGCACTTTCAAAAGTCATGTTAAGATTAGTTAATTTGGGCTAGTGGTTTGAACTCAGAAAAGGGAAAAATGAAAAGCACACATCATCACACAGACATTTTTAAGAGAGGTTGCTGGTTGCATTTTCCCTCCATATGGCAACGGTACACACTTCACAGTTTTGCTTATCAAGGCATCCACAGCTCTGCACTGTTGCACATTACAACTGGCGGAGCTTTTTCCTTCCGGCGTTACGTAGTAGGGCCAGATGCCAGCGGTTCCTTCTATCCTGAAGGTCAACAGGTTGAAGCTAGTTTTGACATAACAATGGCATATTAATGAGCTGATTCAGGGTGTATTTCCTCTCCAGACATAGTTGGATTGAATGCAAAAGAGAACCAACGCATCAGCATCCACCTCTCCAAAGCAACATCTTCCATAAACGAAGATGCACAGAGGATCTATACCATTATCTCATTTCCCCACGGGTAAGGACATCCAAACTGCAGAGGTCCAACACGCCTGGAAGAATAAAAGTTTGGGAACCACGGACTCAGAGGCACAAGGATCAACGTATCCTTGGGCAACCCTTTCATATCCCACACCATCACAGCTAAGCCAAGGGTGTTACACAGGTGACAAAAGTAAACAACACGAGAAGGTGATCAAAGAGGCCACCGTTGTAGCACCGGACTTGCCACAAGCACAAAAATAACAAGAGAAGGCACTCTTAAAATAAAAATCAGTTATGTGTATTCCCCTCCCCCCCCCAAAAAAATATTGCAACTAGAAAGCTACAGCAATGCTTACTACCCCCAGGGGTGGTTGTTTTTGGTGCTTGCATTTTCAAAAGCTACTTTTACAAGCACCCTTTGCCCCCTCCCCTGAAAATGTGCCTTTCCCTCGACTCACCCATCCATCCCTGTTTTGGGCGTTTCTGCATGGAGGGCTAAATAGGTTCCTCCAAAAAGTGCATTGAGAAGACACCACGTGTCATTTTGTGAAGACGGGCTAAGGGTGGTGAAGTTTTTCTCTCTGAATCTATGGAGTGCTACCCCCTGCTCTCTAAGTCTTACATGGAGCCAGCACTAAATTCTACAACTCTTGAGAAAACCGCATCCCGGGAGAGGAGAAACCTGGGAGAAAGCTACCCAGGCCTGCTCTAAACTCTCTGGCACCCCTCTGCTTCACCCTCTTCGCGGAGTTCACGCCTCCTAAAAGTTACTGTTTTGGACTTCATGCCAGAGTTGAATCCCAAAACCACGGCTTTTCCAAGGTCTGCTTTTGATCCCTGTCGTCCTTAGGCCCAAAGAAGTTCTGACCTCAATGGCAATCTCACTGCCTTTAGCCTCACGCTGAAATCTCTCTGCCTTTGAAACTCTGAAGTCTTCATCCCTTGCCCAGAAATACAACAGCCAATATTTTACCACGGGTTGCTCCCTCCATGCAAACACCAAGGATGCAAACGAACGAAAGAAATGCAGCTGTGTTACATATCAGCTATCCCCCCCCCCAAAAAAAACATACCAATTATGACCAGTAGAGCTAATCCAATAAATAGGGAAGGACAAAGAGACAACAGAAGTAGAAACAGTAAATAATGTGAAACTGAAAATGAATAAATAAATAAATAAATAAAAATGAATCAATCAATCAACAGATAAAAACTAGAAGTCTTTAACTAGATCAGTTAGGCCACAATTCCAAAACAATCCCAAGGCTAGTGAAGAGTCAAAGTATGATCTGTTGGAGTTGATCAGTGGATGAAATGGGGCTGGTCAATCTTGAGGCTTCAGCCTCCCTCTGCCTCTCTCTCTTGAGGATCCTCAAGCTGCACCTTAGAGAACAATGGATAACGTAGGGAAACATTTGTTTAAGCACCCTCCTTTCCCCTGCTCTCAAAGAGAGGCTTTGTTGGGAGTTGGGAAGTCTCCAGCAATAGAACCGTTGGGGTGTACAGTAAAAATCGAAAGCAAAGTGTTGATTGCGGTCCGGGGGGGGGGAAGGTCAGTGTGGGAACCTTAGCATTTTCAATGCAGGTTCTTCTTGTGCACCTATGGCGTTTTCTTATTTCCTTGCGTACTCTCTGTCACACGTCCATTGGTGCAAGCTTTTCCACAGCCAGTCCTTTTTCCCGACCAAAGGACAATGGGTCACAATTTACCGAGAAGTCTTCCTCTTGAGAGCGCCACTGGCGCAAAATGAAAGTTAACATGAAAACCTAGTGCGCCCTCTGAAATCAACAAGAGCTGTCCAACCGGGCTAGGAGGAGGAGTTGAAGAGGACATGTCCACGTCATCCCTTGATGAGGAGTGTTGCAACAGCATAGTGAAATGAGGAGGACCTGACGAGAGTTTTACAATAGCACCCGGACACAAAATCGCTTTTGGATGCCAACGGCACGATGCCACTCTGAAGTGAATGGCTATCGCAAGATGATCGTCCTGAAAAGAGCAGGAGCCAAGGAGCATTGCACAAGGCCACTCTGAAATGGATGGGGCTCTAGCACCCTGAGATGAACAGCAGAAACACAACGCAATAACGCCCTCTAAGGAGTGGAGGTTGGACACAAGGTTGCGCAACCTTCATTCTGAACCCCCCAAAAAGAGGTGTGAGGAATGTCTTTCTCTCATTCATTCCAATAGGAAGTCTATATTGCCAGATACCATTTCAATCATTTAAACAGAACTTCTGAACAAGTCCTCCCCCCCAATACAGTTTCCAAAGATCTGCAGCTGACTGCCTATGAAAACATACACAGCTATACATAACAGCTGTAAATATATAGGTATGGTTGGTTTCTTTAAAACAAGTGCTACCCCTGGCAATTGTCTTTTCCTTTCCACAACCCTGCCTCTTAAGAAAAATAAAATAAATAAATTAATAATAAATAAAGAAGTTAGCAGATCTGCTCAAAAACTGAAAGCCAATTAAAGAGTTTTAAAATCGCAACACAAATAAAATAAAAATAAAATCCAAGAAACGTGTATCCATGTGAATACAAGGTGCAATCTGCTCCGCCTTGTTCACTTTGGCTGTTCTCCAAGTATCATCCTAGGAGCAGCCTTGTCAGAGAGCAGTCTACCTTTAAGATTTGCTTCTTCCCAAGGGGTGGGCATGGGGGGGAGAATTTAACAGAGCCAGCATGTGGGTGGATGCCCCCAAAATACGCCATGAGGAAAGGCAGAGGAGGGTGGCATACAACCACATAGAGAGAACAAAGGACCACAGACAATGTGAGAGGTTTCACAATGCTACCGTCTCCTCCAGCCCTGGTTTTGTTTTTCATTTTAAGGCATCCTTTTCGACAGAAACTAGCGGAACAGGCATCACCCCCACGGTCTTTAACAGTGCGCTATAGAGGCTTGGCAAAGTAGTTTTGGCGAATCAGGACATTCACAGCTTCACATTCAGCTGCTGGTGCAGGGCAACGTCAATGACCTTCCGCTTGCTAGCAGACAAGCATCTTCCCCCCCCCCTTGCATCCCATCATGGCTGTTTTTAGGTTCCTTGGTGCAAAAGCGGAGCCCGAGGTTCGAATCCGATTGTGGAAGCAGCAGCCACGTTGCTGTGGCCGGTCGAGAGGGACCTGACGACGACGGTGGAGCGAAGATGAAAAAAGGCGATGAAAAACGAGGAAGGCTGCTGACGTTTTTGTCTTAAGGGGGGGGCGGTTATCGTCAAGATCTGTTCTCGGAGATGCCCCGCAAGAGCCAGAAAAAGGCCCCTATGGAGGAAAAGAAGAAGTTAACACTAAAAAAGAGAGAGAGTCTTGACGCAGCATCTACACCTCCGACCTCTTCTTCGTCCCCCTCGTCGTCGATGCCACGTCACAGGGAGCGGCTGCCGCCGGGGTCAGGCCAGGCGGCTCTTGCACTCCGGCAGATGCTGCAGTCTGGGCGAGGCGAGGCGCCGCGGGACTCTTTGTCAAAGGCTTGTCGAGGAGACCGAGAGGGTGGGCGAGGAAGGGGGCGGGAAGTTGAGGAGCTCCAACACGGCAACGCCCACACTGCTGCGGCGGGTGAACATGCACGAGGCCGCCACCCACTTGTTCGTGCGCGGGTTGTACTTCTCGATGGAGTTGAGGCTGGAGCTGCCGTCGTTGCCGCCCACCGCGTACAGCCACCCGTCCATCGCCACCAGGTCATGGGTGCTCCTAAGAGGGGGAAGCAGACCGGATGCGTCAGCAACTGCAGGGCCATTTGCTCCACATCAGGCAAGCAGGCGCTCTCCAGATATTTAACACTTGTTATGTATTTAAAACATTTTTACACCGCTTTTCTGCGTAAAAGGCCACCAGGCAGCTGATCTCATTAAAAAGACAATGTTTATAAGCTAGAAACAGTAAGTATACAAATATTAAAAAGAATTAAACAAGTATTATATTAAAAATGGTTAATAAAATCAATAGTAAAGACACATTTAAATGCAACAGAACACAACAATCCATTAAAAAAACAACAACAAAAAGCCTCTCAGATGGCCTGTTTGGAAAAAAAGATCTTTGCCTGCTTGTGGAAGGACAGCAAAGACGGGCCCAGGCTGGCTTCCAGTGGGAGGGAGTTCCAACGTCTGGGAGCAGCCACCAAGAAGGTCCTTTCCTGTGTCCCCACCATATATACCTGTGAAGGTGGTGGGACTGAGAGAAAAGCCTCTTCTGATGATCTGAACACCCGGGGAGGCTCATAGAGGGAGTCTTTTAGAGAGCATGGACCCCATTTAGGGATCATTTGCCTAGTTGACAGTAAAGAAAGCTGTTTTTCTTTTAAAGAGAATATTCTCTTTTGTAAGATTAAAGATCCTATAGAACAGTGGCTCCCAACTTTGGAATCCCAAATGTTCTTGGATTGAAACTCCCGGGAGCCTTCGATTTCTGGGAGTTGCAGTCCAAGAAATCTGAGGACCTAACGTTGGGAACCACTAGTATAGAAGACTATAGAAAGCCTGGTAGAACTGGATTTCCAACCTGTTCTGACATTATCACCTGAAAGCAGAGAGCGCCATAATGGTGTGGGAAAAGGCCAGGCCATAAATCCTGCTGCCAGCACCCTGCATGCGCATGAACCCTTTGCACATTCGGTCTAACAGTCTGTACAGGAAACGGTCAGCTTCTTTGGTTGAAAAGGCTAACAGCCGTTCCCCAAACAGGAGTCTGACTAGGTCTCGCACAGGATGTGTTCGCTGACTGAAATTCGTTCAGTATCTAGCAGGACCAGAGCCTTCAGAGTTGGGGAGCCTGTGGTGGAAGTCAGTCCCCCCCCCCCTCTGAAAAAGAGCGTCTCTACCTTCGGATGTTCATGGGCGCCACACTTTCCCATGTGTTTGTCTTCGGGTTGTAGCGCTCCACGGAGTTAAGGCAGCTGGTCCCATCGTTGCCTCCCGCGACATACAACATCCCTTCCAGAACAGCCACGCCGGCGCTGCTACGCCGACTGAGCATGTTGGCAATCGGAGTCCATGTATTAATCTGATAGGAGAGAGCAAAGCAGAAAAAAGAAAGAAAAAGATTTGTTTGGACTAAGGGAACTTGTTCCCCCCAGGTCCCCTTCTCTTTCTCAGTGTTTCTAGACCTCCAGGACTAGACAAACCATGCATTAAAAAAGCTGAACTTGTGGCTTGGTGTAATGTCTGAACTGAGAAATCACGGGTCATAATCTGCTAGTACACTGGAATCAGAAACCATGGTTTGAAGTGTGTTTGCAAACCATGGCTTCATTTACCACATTCCATTTCTTATTCTACTGGTTGGAGAGCTCAGTGGTTTCAGTATCTGACTGTGGTGCCAAAGGTTGGGAGTTTGACTCCCTGCTGGGCCTCCTACAAGTAGAGCTACCCTCTGTGGCCTTGGGCAAGCTGCACAGTTCCAGGGAAACTGCAGAAAATCGCTTCTGAGTACTCGCCATTTGAAAAATCCTTAAAAGGGTGTCCATAAGTCAGGATGATGATGATGATGATGCTGCTGCTGCTGCTGCTGCTGATGATGATGATGACCGACTCTAGGGTGTGGTGCTCATCCCCGTCTCCAAGCCCTAGAGCCAGCGTTTGTCCGAAGACAGTTTCCACGGTCACGTGGCCAGCACGACTAGACACAGAACGCCGTTGCCTTCCCAACGAGGTGGTTCCTATTTATCTACTCGCATTTTTACAAGCTTTCGAACTGCTAGGTAGGCAGGAGCTGGGACAAGCGACGGGAGCTTATTATTAGCTTATTTCTTAGCCCAGTTTAAAATAAATGGAACCACACCTTGGATCAATCAGTAAGCCGCAACTGCAATCAACAGATGAAAGCAGGAACGCAGCTCAGTTCCTCAAAATCTTGCATGCATAAGTGTGTCTTCCTCTGGCACTGCCAATTGTTTTGCAACCTAAAGGACTTCTATTCCTTTCCTCAGTGTCACCCCCACACCTCCCGCCAGAGTCAAAGGATGCCCACAACCTCCCACTCCCTTGTTACGTTCCTCCCCATCTACCTGAGGTTCGTATTTCTCCACCGTTGCCAAATGTGACGAGCTATCGTATCCCCCGACAGCATAAAGGTTGCCATCTGTAGAGGCAAGAAGGGGAAAGACACCTATATACGAAAAACTCATGAAGAAACAAGTTACGATGCTGCAATCCTAGCCTGGGGACCAACTTAGAAAGAAACACTTAGAAACCTGGTTTGCAATGTCAGCTAAGTTATTTGCTCTGTTAATCCTGTATTTTTGTATTGCCAGTCAAAGGGAAAAGGAGTTCTGGGATTTTTCTCACCTTGCCTACCAAAATAACATGGCTAGATATACCCTACGGATCTTGACATGGTGAAGAAGGGCACCTGTTTCACCTCTTGTGGAGAAATGCCTCAGGCCAGCCTTGACCGAGGAGCAAATCTGAATTCAGGACAAAAGCTGATCATGAAGGGCGCAGGAATGCCTCAAAGCTGAGGCCAAGTGGTCGCTTCAGCACAGCCTTCTCTGGAAGCCCTGATGTTCCATGGCTCACTCCATGGGGGAGCTGTGCACAGAGGCTTACAGGGGGCCAACACGCCATGAGAACCAGGCCACGCATCCCATGTGCAGAGCAGCCCCACAACATTCTGCCACCTGAGGCAGAAGACGAAATGGCACCGCTCCACCCACCGACCTCAACATACACAGTACTGAAAGCCAGCAAAGTCAACTCTAGCACAAAAGGCTGAAAGATTCCCTAAACATGTCTCTCCATCCTCGGGAGTAACAAAATAAAACTACTGAAGGTCAAGTAATTCACATTAAATTAAATAACCAACAGTACGCTGTTTCCTCATGAAAATCTGAACTCTGTTCGCACAACGGCAGGGCCGGCCTTGCTACACATGTAAGGGAAAACACACCCACCCAAAACCCCATGGGAGTGAATAACTAAAGTCTGCATCTCAGTTCTGAGTCAGTCTCCCTTTGGAAAGGATTATCTCACGGAGCGTGAACAGGGTGTACTGGTCTGCTTTGTCCACTGCAGGGGGAGCAAATATTAAACACTCCCCAGAAGTCTTCTGAATCCTTCCATGTGAGCAAGAGATGGCAATGGCCCAATAGGGCCGCGTACGGGAATAAGTCCCTCGCCTCCCAGTTATACCATCGCCTGTGTGCTCCAGCTGTTATGTCCAGAGCTTTTTGTTCTCTGGAAGATGATGCACAAAAGGGGGGGGGGTTGCGGTGTAGTGTCATGACGACAGTGCGCTGAACACATGAGTGGAAGGCTAATGACTCTGAAGCCCCTGGGGTTTTGGGACTGGCAAAATGGAGCAGAAGGAACACACTGTATGCAGCCATAAGGAAAACAAATAGATTTCCATACAAAAAAAGAGCAAAATATGCTGCTTATATAATGCCCCATAGTGCTTAAAGCACTGTTTAATTAACATCAATTATGCAAGCTACACCTCCTCCCCTCCCACCCAGCAAGCGAGGTACATACTCAATTTACCAACCTTAGAAAGATGGAAGGCTGAGCCAAACCTCAAGCCAGCTAGCTACCTGAGCCTGTCGGAGTCGAACTCAGGTCCTGAGCAGAGTCTGGACTGCAGTCCTGCAGTTTAACCACTGCAACATGAGTATAATAAAGCTTCCCTAAAACTTCCCTGAAAAGGCCCAGTCTGGCAGTCAGTTTCACACTCTTGGAACAGCAGAAACTTTCTCTCTTTTTCCAGAGCTCAGAAGTAACCTTACCTAACGTTGCAACCCGGACATATCTCCTCCTGGTGCTCATGGCTGCGATTGAGGTCCATGTGCCTGTCAAAGGGTCATATCTCTCAGCGCTAAAGCAGGCCAGAAGAAAAGAGGAATGGGGGGGGGGGAGAAGAGAGAAAGAGAAGTACTTTATGCAAGACACTTTATGCAAGTTTTTAAAATATAAAATGCAAGAAGATTTGCGGGGGAAAAGCTGATGGGGGAAAAGCCTAATCTATTCATACTTGAAAGAATGAAGAAGAAGGAATCGCCTTGCGGTAGCTGAGAAAAATTGAAAGCATTTGTTCCATCCTTAGTTCACAAGTTTCTGAACAAATTAAAGATTACCGAAATGCCAACTTTTAAGTCCTTTCCTACTCCCCTCCGTTCCCAGTGCATTAAGGCCAAAATCCAGTTGCTAGCCTCCATTACAATAAATACAATCAATCAAATTTGCACAAGATTCAACAGCTAATTCAGTGGGATTTATTTTAATTGGAACCATCATTTAGGTTTAGGCCTTTAGGCTTCTAGCATTTGCCGTTTTCGCGGTTCCAGACTTTGAAAAATTTATTCTCTAATCCAACATTTTTGTATTCGTAGACCAATGCCTATAAAAATCTTTGCTTATTAATGTTTTTTTTAAATGACGGCACTTGCTCCTTCAATTTTAACTATACAGTGCCCATTCTTTTCTGATTTACAGCTCATATCTCGAATTGTGTTAATGACTGTATACATCCATTAATTCACAAAGACGTAAAACTAGGTAGCAAAAGGCTCAGAGTTAATAAGATGCTTCTGGAGCCAATGGTTGGGCTCGAGGGTGCCTGCTGGACCCTTCAGACCTCAAGATATTTGCACATCAAGGCCAGGGATGCAGGAGACGAAGAGGATGGCAAGCAAACACAGATAAAATCCACTTTACCTATTGAGACACGACGCTCCATCATACCCTCCGGCCGCGTAGAGGAGCCCATGCAAAGCCGCCACCCCTAAACAGCTCCGTCTGGTTCCCATGGAAACCTCTGTCTGCCAAGAGTTGGTAACGGGGTCATAGGATTCTACTGTGGCCAAGTCCGAAGTCCCATCATAGCTGCAATACGGGAACAATAATAATAATTAATAAATAAAAGAACCTAGAGGGCAACCGAAATAACCAAGGACTGGAATAGCTTTCCTATAAAGAAAGGCTATCGTTCAGATATTTGGGTGTGAAAGGATGATTAATGATGACAGTGGCATAGTGGGAGAAATACAGCAAAAGTAAAGGAGGCTTCTCATTATCACAAGAAGCTGGAATCATGTAATGAAATGGATTATGTGATGCTCCAAACACTGACCAGGAAAAGGTGAAGGTTCCACTTGACATTTAGTCCAGTCATGTCCAACTCTAGGGCACGGTGCTCATCCCCGTCTCCAAGCCATAGAGCCAACATTTGTCCGTAGACAGTTTCCGTGGTCATGTGGCCAGCGTGACTAGACATGGAACGCTGTGACCTTCCCACTGAGGCGGTACTTATTTATCTACTCTCATTTTTACATGCTTTTGAATGGCTAGGCAGGAGCTGGGACAAGCAACGGGAGCTCACTCCGTCATGTAGATCCGATCTTACGACGGCGGGGCTTCTGACCTTGCAGCAAAGAGGCTTCTGCGGTTTAACCCACAGCGCCACCACGTCCCTGACCAGTGGAAGCACTTATTTCCAGAGTGCATAAATGTTAAAAGAAGGACACAGTGGAATTAAGGCTCTGCCCACCTAGAAAGGCAGGTCCATCTGGCTTTTCTCGTGCTTCCACTGGGCTGAGAAACCTCCTAATATGAAGAACCTGTCCTTGCGTCATCATGATTTCCTCTTCTCTTTCTCCCTTTCGTGTTGTTCCTTTTCCAATCCTTAAGCCTGAAGGTGTGGACGGGGTTATTGTTTTTTTTCCAATTGCTACATAAGCCAATCTGAAAGCGCTTATACACAAATAATAAATTGATACAGCATTTGCCCCCCAAAAACCTGATCAATGGTTTCTGTATGTCATCAGACTTATCCTAAATATAGTATTCTCTCTCACTCAGGTTGATTATTCTTAGGATTTGGTGGTGGTGGTGGGTTGTGTGTGTGTTTTTGCATACTGAGGCGGGGGGGAAGAGGGAGTGAGCAGTTTTTCTTTGGCCAAACAGTTCCTTCTTACCCTCCAACGGCGTACAGCTTGTTCCCAATGGCGGCGACACCCACCCTGGCCCGACGGGTGGACATGGAAGCGACCATGTGCCAACGGTCTGTCCGAGTGTCATATGCCTCACAGTCCCCGTGGATGGCAAAGAGGCTGCCCCCACCTGTAAGAAAGAGCAGGGAAAAGAATGGCAGGCTGGAAGCTGGCAGAACACCAAGGAGAAGGGAAAGCCCTTTTTTTCCCCTTTACTGTTGTGTTTGTATGGGCAAATGCCTTCAGTCACTTTCTCCCAAGTCAGCTGGTCTGGTCCGGTCCTTACCCACAGCAAAGAGGACCGTGCTGGCCCCCTCGCAGCGCCGGGGGCGGGTTCGGCTGTTGCTTAGGACCCCTCTCTGCTCAGGCATCAGATGGTACTTGAGGGCTTCAATGAGGAGGTCTTTGCACTCCGAGTGGTGCCTCACCAGCAATTCTGTGTCCACGTTGCTCATCAGGAAGTCCCGGCTTAAGAGGGGAAGGCGGACGCACTTCATGAGCTGGGGAGGGGGAGGAAGAAAGAGAGGAGGAAGAAAAACAACTTTATAAAAGCAAAGTGAAAACCGATGATCCACCTGGGGTGTTGCTGAGGAGGGGGAGCGAATCTGCTCAGTTTCATTACAGAGGATAGGACGGGAAGAAAAGGGGCTTTTTCTAAGCTTTAAGAACTTGATAGAAACTATTCAACGCTGGGGCAAACTGCAGCAAGAGCTTAAGTTGAAGGGCTGAGGAGGGCTGAGTTCTAGCAACCACCATTTGGGGCTTGGCCATCAAGGTTACGATAATAAACCCTTGGCTACAAAATGTGCAACTTCTCTCTCTTTCTCTCCATGAACAGCCTTGCAATCCGCCCAGCCACCTACTCTGGGGATGTGCTGCCTTCTGCTGTCCACGTCATGCTTCACCCAGCTCAAGACGGCTCGGTAGACTTCCTCCTCCGAGGGCACGTTGAGGCTATCGCTGGATATGAGATCGAGGACCTGCGGAGTGGGGAGGAAACAGAACATCCACTTAAATCCAGGTGAGCTGGAAACCATCAGAACAAAGAAAGGTTGTGTTGAGCTTTAAGGGAAAACAAGATGGAAAAGGGGCTCCAGAAACTTTATTTTCAGTGTGGTAGGAAAGTTGACATAAACCTCTAGAATGTTGGGGTAATTCACAGATTTTTCTTGACCTAGAAACGAAGATCGGCCCTTTCTTTCCATGGAATTCCTACTTCATCCTTGCCAAGTTCAAAGATGAACCGGCCATCAAAAAGTGGAGAGGACGTTCCATGGAAACACTGAATGTAATTTATAAAAATAAACATTGACATGCATCCTCCTCTACTGGCTTTAGAGCTTTCTATCTTTCGGGGACTTGAAGCTGCTAAGGAGCATCTCCCTGTTTTTGAAAAATGCTCACAACCGAAGCTGCCTTACTCAAAATCAAGCCCCCAGGTTCATCTAGCCCAGCATTATTTACCCAAACAGGCTCTTCCACTCCAGGATACTCAGTTCTGGTTGGAGAGGGTAAATCCAGAAGGAAAAAAAATAGAACCGATCAATTGTGTCAAATTCTGCCCGGACTTTGGTGGGCTTTCTTTGCACGTCTGAATGATGGCTTTGGAGTGCATAACCAGACTCTGAAACAACCCAGTGCCCTCCCCGAACACAGGGGCAGGAGGGGTGAGAATCACGATCCCATCGTACCTGCTTGAGAGGCAGAAGCATGAACTCTTCTGTCTTGGAGACGTCCACAAAGTGCTGCAGGACGTACTTGTGCGCCGACTTCAACAGGTCGCTACAGGAGTGCGTGTCTGCAAAGCCCCGGATGCCCAAGCAGTTGGACGGATCCAGCTGGCTCAGGAGGAATTTGCAGCAAGCATCCCGTACCCCATTCAGCTGGAGGAGGCTGGCAGCAGGAAGCAGTGTCTGTAAGGGAAGAGCAAGCAGGACGGTCAGTGCAGGGCTTCTGCCTGGCCCCTGCTGTTTCGGTGAGGTGCCATTTTCCATTCTGGAACAATATACAATATATATATATTTAGCAACACAGAAGGGCAAGCTTGGGAGGCATTAAACACAGACCACCATCTTTTGCTTGCTGAGTCCATAGGTTGCACTTCACCCACCTCAGTTTTAAGGTAAACACTTAAATATTTGTGCAACCCTTACATGGACCAATGAGAGCACCACGCCTGCTTGTAGCTGCTCATTTTCACAACTGGGTGAGGCCAACACACCATACAAGGAGACAGGCATTTCTTCATCTTGTTCGACATACAATAATGACATACAATAATATTAATTGCATGCTGTCAAGTCAATTCTGACTTAGAGCGACCTTTTCCAGGATTTTCTAGATAGAGAAGACACATTCCCTTCTACGGTGTTGGGGGATCCCTGGGATGGTGCAGCTGGCCCAAGGCCACCCGGGCTGGCTCTTTTCCCTGGAGGCACAGCGGGGGGAGTCAAACTCCCAACCTCTGGCTCTGCAGCCAGCTATTAAATTTATAAAGCACAGCTCAATTCTCTGCATGTCTGTTCACGACCAGCCACCATTGCAACAGCTTCCCAGGCTGCCAACACAAGGCCAGCTTTCCTAGGTTGCAAATACATATATATATGAAAATCCTGGGGAGACTTTGTTCACATATATGCAGATTTACCTGCACATTTCCTTCTCCTACCACAATCTCTGCAGTGTAGGCATACTGGACCAGCTGCTCCAACGCCTGTGGGTCAATATCGTGGAGCGTGACATGGGTCTGCCGGCTTTCACTCATCTCATCTGCGGCAACAATGACAGACACGATAAATGGGAGGTGTGACACTGACCCTTTACATTCACAAGCAGGGTTTTAATAAAAACTGGCCGCTTCTGTTTGCTATCAAAAGCCCTTGCTATTCTGTGTGCAAAAAACCCCAACAACCATCTATTTTTACTTCTATAGTCCTTCAGAGGTTGGGGGACTGCTGCCTGCAAGAATGGATAACAATTGATCCAGACACACTAGCGGTCTGAAAAAGCAGCCCCAAAACAAGAAAGAAAATTCCCAGCTAGCACTGGGACGCAGAAAGGACATTTGGGTGGAGCTAGGCCTAGCTCAGCCTCAAAATCTTTCTCTTTAGGCCTAGTCTCCGAGGTGAGCCACAGTTAAGTGTCTGAAAGGTGTTTGTAAGTCAGGTGGAATTCCCAGAATGGGGAATTATGGGATCGATAGCCTAAGCAATCTGAAACTGCCACCCTTAGCAAACAGTTTACACAGAGAGCCCAAGAGAAGCAGGGAAAAGGAGGCACAAAGAGTTACTTGCTTGTAAACATGGCATGGAAGTAGGGGCTGCAGGAAGCCAGCACCACTTTGTGGGCCTTGATCTCTTTGGTGGCCACATGCAGGACAATGTCACAGAGCAGGCCCCGTTGCCTCATCCGGTTCATGCACACAAAGGCGTCGTGGTAGTGCCGCTTCGAATTGTGAGAGATGCTGTGGCCATCCCGGTTCAGGAGCTGCATCCCATTCTCCATGGCTGCGGGAGGGTCGTTCCAGGCTCGCGGCAGCGCCCTTTCGGCCTCTCTACGGAAACACAGTTTCATTTATTCAATTTGTTATTCGTCTTGTAACGAGGACTTTAAAAGAGAGAGAGAGAGGTTTCCTTCTACAGAATCAAAATCAGAGTCAACGAATCCCAAACCTTCAAATTCTCTTGGACGTTCCAGAAAGAGAAAGACTTTATCTAGAGTTGGGAAAAGTTACTTTTCTGTACTATAGTCTGTGCCTTTTCAAGTTTAGCCAGGGCCAGGCAATGTGAGAATCCCAGTGAGGTCTAAGGCATAGAGTGACGGACTAGTTCTCTGGAGAACAGGGTTTGAATCCCCACTCAGCCAAGGAAACTCACTGGGAGAAGGAAACAGGTAAAACCACTCCTAACCTTGAAAGCCCTCTCAGGGTCTATATGACTCGGTTCGGACTTCACAACACAAGACACACACGTACAGACACATGCGTGATTTGAGGAACCCATAAGGGCTTGGCTGGTTCTGTCTGCTGCTTGTAGTGTTTCCCAGCCTAAGACCAACCCTTCAGACAGAGTAACAATGATGCAGGTTAGGCTTCAGGGCAATTTGCTTTAAAAGGACGTTCCTGTAAGAGGAACATAACTGAACAGAAGGGATAAGTGTGAAAATATTCTGGAATGACAACAGACTCCCAGTGTCATAATTTTTAGTGCCATAACTCTGCTTTGTTTCATTGCCTTCTGTTTCCCCCTTAAATGTAAGCTATGAATTGAGCATATAACCCAATCAATCATCATCATCATTGTAGAATTGCAGAACCGGAAGAGACCCTATGGATCATCAAATCCAACCGCTGTCAAGGAGGCACTGGGGGGAATCGAACTCCCAACCTCTGGATCCGCAGTCAGAAACTCATAACTCTGCTTTGTTTCATTGCCTTCTGTTTCCCCCTTAAATGTAAGCTATGAATTGAGCATATAACCCAATCAATCATCATCATCATTGTACAACTGGAGAACCGGAAGAGACCCTATGGATCATCAAATCCAACCGCTGTCAAGGAGGCACTGGGGGGAATCGAACTCCCAACCTCTGGATTCGCAGTCAGAAACCGAAACCACTGAGCGATTCAATATAAAAATATCCATGGTTGTGCTTTTTTAAAAAAAGTCTCCTAAAAGAAGTTGTGGGGAAAAGGAAATAAAGCAACCTGGAAACAGCAGCAAGCTGATGAACCAAAATACTTCCCAAATGGATTGTTTTAAGAAATGGCGTGGGCACAATGAAGAATAGACTACGTAATCCATAACCCATGAGGAGATGGCCTTTTTTGCTTCCAAAGGGCAGCTAACATTCCCTGAATTCACATGTAACCTTAAAAAGGGATCAGGAAAAAAAAACATGGCTAGAACTATGAAGTTAAGGGAGTCAATTAAGTTCTCAGTCTGAAGCGCTGGGGGGGTGTGGATAGAAAGCAAAAGACGTCTCTGATTCCTGCCTTCCAAAAAAAATTACAGAGTGCCATTCTTTTGCTAACAATTCAAGGATTTTGCTAATAATGATAATAAAAAGGATGCAGCAGCTCTGCTTTAATAATAATAATAATAATAATAAAAAGGATTCAGCAGCTTTGCTTCATATCCAACCACCCCTCCACTCCGGTAGCAAATCTGTCTCTCTCTACAACTCAGACACTCACACAGGAAGCCGACCTCTGTACTCTTGGCAGGCATTGGCACATTGCTGACTCTACGTGGTATGAGGCGTGCGTGTGCATATGTGTCTGTACGCGGGCAGGTCTAAAAATAACCAGTCCCCAGCTAGGAAAAGGACTTTAATTTATCCTTGCCAACAGCAGGGCATGAATTTGGAAGAAAAGAGGGAGGTGGCAGCGAGGATGACGGAGGAAACGGAGGGAACAGAGAGAAACCAAATCGACAGATGCACACAGAGACAGCCGAGAGCTCAAGCTTCCTGCCAGACTGGAAAGGGGGGGGGAGGACGCAGCCTTCCCTGCGATGGAAGAAGAGGGAACTCCTGCCTTTGTCTCAAATGAGAAAAGATGTGAACAGGGACGGAATGGATGCAACTCCCAAGAGGCCCCCCCCCTCCCATGCTGCTCCTAAAGCAAAGAGGATGAAAGAAAGAGGGAAAGCTGTGAAGTTAAAAGCTGCCAGGAAAGCTTAATGCTTGGTATACTCTCTAGTTAATGAAAGGAGCGGAAGTGCGAGGCATAATCTTGGCTGGGTGTGGATGGCCCCTGCTTCCCCCACCCTAGGGCAGCTTGAATTTGGCAGGTTCCGAGGAAAGGGACATTTACATTTCTTTTTGCCAAGATACCAACGATCATGCACATCCCAGGGGGAAGAACAGTGAGGGCTCTGTTTTTTGCAATACTTGTCTCTGCAAGTGGGGGTCAGCAACTGCAGGCCCTTGGGCTGAACCTGGCCCTCTTGGGATTCGCCAGAAGGCCACGCCCCCTTTCCCATAACAAAACTGTTTCGAATCTCCCCCTCCTGTCTTTGGCCCTCCCTGTCATTGGGCTATGGCTACGGATAACATCAAGACTAAATGTGGCTGCTGGTTTCCCACTCTTGGTCTATAATCATCCCACTGGATGAGAATACTCTGTGTTGTTTCTCCACCACCACCACCAAATCTACTAGGCTTCTCACAGTCTTCTCTAAGGAGCCACCACAATTATTTCTTGTAGACAACGGGCCTGAACGGTCCAACCATCCGCCCTTCTCTGAAGGTCCTACAGGAGGAGAGAAGATAGGACGACCTCACAGCACCGGAGCAGAAAGGCTGCATGCCAGAAGCGCAAGCACTGATCTACAGGCAAGGGGCCTCTGGCAACCACGCAGCTTTCCTTTAGATGGAAGGAGGAGTCTACTGGGTTTCAAGAGTCCATCAGGTCAACTCTTCTTGTCTGTGGGAGCTCTCCCTGGTCCTGAAATGCTGAGACAAGGAGGAGTACTACAGCTGTTTAGTTGAGACCATGCCATGATGCCCGAAGCCCAGAAATAGACTAGGTCCAACTTATGAGGCAAGGTTCTGTGAACCAAAAGCCATGCAAACAGAAGGGCTTGGGTTCAATTCTTGACACCTCTAGTTGGGGATTGCCAAGGGATTCCTTTGAGTGAATCCCTAGAAAACTTCTACCCATCCAAGCAGGCACTAACCAGCTAGAATCTACCTGCTGGATTGACTGACCAGACTCTGCGCAAGGTGGCATCTTCTGTTCCTATCTATCCCAGCCCTTTATTCAGAATGATGAGGACTAGTATCTTTCCTAGTTTATCTTCAGTGGGAAAACCATGACTGAGCAGTAGAGCCCAGGGCTGACTTGCAGAGGTTTGCATGTTCTGTCCCCACCATCTCCAGGAAAGGATTGGGGGGGGGATTTTCTGTCTGAACCTTTGGACCGTCCATCCATCCATGCAGAAGCTCCTGAGGTAGGTGGACCAATGGCCTAATTCAGAATAAAGCAAAAAGTCTTGTACGCCGGCCGATCTGCAGCTGCTCTGGTTACCCATTTAAGGCTAAGGGAGATGACAAGGAAAACACAAGACAGAATATTTCTGAAGGAGCTCTATTCTGCGTCAGTGAAGCCAGAAGCTCAAAGGGATGACTGTTCATATAGAGGACATATGTTGCATGGATAAACACCCAAGATTATATACGGAGGGCATGGGATGTGGAGAAAGACTCTATTCTGTGCTCCAGCCACAAGAAATATATTCCAAGCTGCTCCTTTGGGACACAGAAGGAGAATTTAGTCTTCTATTTACGCTACCAACTCCGAGCGTCTCCTTTGAGACAGATTGGAGGACAACAGATACCCGAATTTCCACAAAGAGTTTAATTTGATCCTAAAATGGTGGGGTGTGTGATATCACATCAGGCTGTAACTGGCCAACGTTGTTATTCTGGCGTGTCAGTGGGGAGCGTTCTTGCTTCTGTAGCAGGATCAGAGAAGAGAAGCGCTGTGTTAAAAGCAATGTAGTCCTGTCACTCTCCTGTTCCTAGTGACTTATGGACATGTCACAAAGTTACATTTCAAAAGTCAATCTATGCCTGAAATCCAGTTGCTTAGCATAGGATGTTGCACTAGAGTAAGCCCACTGAAGCAGTGGGGATTTGGTGAGTCAACCCCTTGGCAATTTCTGTTAACTCAAATGGGCTACTCCACTTGTGATCTGAACACCCTAAGCAACAGGTTTCAGCCAATGGTTAAGAGTGATCTCACTTTATTGGTGGAAAAAGTATCTTTACCTAGGTTCTACTGTTATTTGTTAAAGGGTGTGCGCGCACGCACACACACACAGAGTTTAACACAATGAATTGCTTTTCTAACTTATCTTAGCAGGTTACTTTTCAAATGTAGGGTGAGGCTCTTTACAGCTTATCTTCATAACCAGAAATACGGATTCTGCACTGTATGCTTATGCAGCCATTCGTGAATGACATTCTGTACATGCTCAGAGGCACTCTTATCCTGTCTTACTATTCTGCATCTTTTAGTCTCAAAGTCCTGCTCTTCTCCACCGGGTCCTGGTCTGATTCCTGCATGAGCTTAGTTTGCATTTCTCACCCAGCTTCTGGTCTTGAGCTCACCTTTATTCCAACCCTCTTTTTGCTCTGAAATGCAAATCTTCCCTCTGTTTAAAAATAGCCGTGCTTGTTAAACAGGACATGACGCAAACCGTGAAATTAATCACCCTCGGTTGCTAACAAAGGTAGCTTTCCAATACCAGCTGCAGGGATCAGCATGACATTTTATGGTGGCATGTTATGACGTGTTCAAGTGGATGGGGGTACCACCCTGAAATCACTCCCAGTCAGATCGTAGGTGCTCAGAAACATGTGGGACAAAGTAGATCCAGAGATCCCGGGAGGCTGTGGTCCGAGCAAGTCAACATATTTTTCAATTCACTCATAATAAATATTAAAAGAAAATTACGTTGGTTTATCAGAGCTGTAGCTCTCAAGACCATGAAACGTAGACACTTGAGAGTCCATATGCCTACTAAGGGAATACTAGAAGTGTGCGGCTCAGAGTTATTAGAGAAACCTTAATATTAATTTTATAGGGATTGGCATGTTGGAAATCTGCTCTTCGCTCACCCGGTGTCTTTGGCCACATTTCTATATTCCACTTTTTCTCCAAAAAGCTCAACACAGCCTGTTTGGTGCCCCCGTTGCAAGGTAGATTAGTCTGAGATGATGTGACTGGCCCATTGTGAGTTTTATGGCCAGGTAGGGATTCAAACTCCGGTCGCCCAAATCCTAGTCCAACACACTAACCACTATACCACAGGGCCTCTTGCAGTTAGTATAGTTTGAAGCCGTAGTATAGTCTGGAGTCTAAGACACAGATTTACAATAATAGGAATGGGGATACAATGGGGATACCTGCTCTGGGGGCAGGTATTTCACCATGGAGGGAATTCCATGCTTAGGGGGTGCCAGCAGCTGTGCCCCCCCACCTTCATTGGGGTAGCAATAATTTGTTTAACACTACATCACATGGGCCAAAGTTTTCACTCCATCAGAGCAACGGCTACTGCAACTTGGCTGAAGCCCAGCATGTTCACTGGTTAATTTCATAAAGAGGCGTCAAAAACTGAGATCAGATCATGCAGACACCCCACGGGCAATCTCCTTATTTCCTGCATCTCCATTAAAAGAGACTGAACGATCCCACTGTGTTTCTTGCAGAGAGGTGGCAGGACAGCTTGTTCCAGAGAAGGGTGACTGGAAGGAGGCCTGCTTCGAACAGGCACCAATACAGAGGTACAACGGGAATACTCTTTGAAAGGTAAGTAATCCTGATCTCGCTGGATTGTGGGTGGTGGATTGATTGCCTTGGAGGTCAACCGGGTGCACGCCAGGTCAAAATGGTTCCTTGTGCAGAGATCCAGTGGGCAACCCCAGTGTGGTCCAGTGGGCAGTGTTGGGTGCACTGGGGAGGCACTAGCTTTGAGAAATCAGTATGATGCAGTAGTTAGAGGAGAGACGAGGAAGCCGGTGTCCCTCCAGAAGCTGAAGAATTATAAGCTCCACCATGGCCATGATGGATCAGAGCTAAACTGCTCACATCCGGAGAGCTCCATATTGCCCACTGTGGAGATCAGGATGTTGACCTAGGATTCATGACGCATGGTTCAAATCCCCACTCGGTCACAATACTCACTGGATCACCCTGGACTAGTCATTATTCCTCAGATTGACTTCATAGGGTTGTTCTGATGATAGCAAATTAAAACAAAAATCAGAAGCACCATGCACAATGTCTTGAACATGAGCTGCTAGATAGCTCAGTGGTTTAGGTCTCTGGCTGTGGAGCTGGAGGTTGAGAGTTCGATTCCCCCCACTGGGCTTCCTGGACAGGCGCTGGACGCGATGGTCCAGAAGGTCCCTTCCACCTCTGCAGTTCAATGAAGATAGTGATCTTGGAGGAAAGTCAGGATATAGATGCCACAAAGAAATACGCAATCAACTCTTATCGGATTAATTCATCCTTAACAGCAGGCAACACCACACTCTCTGGGCATGCCTGCTTTATATCTGCATTCCCCCCCCTCCCTCAATCCTCAGTTATTATTCCAGAGTTTTAAAACTATCGTTTCTAAAGAGGAAGAGTTAAGCTGCTTTAAATCTAACCAGGGATATGAGGAAGGAAGGCGTTTGCTGCTAAAATACATCTAAAAAACCCCCTTCCAACCATCACAAAAATCAAAGAACCTGTGGAATGTTTTAGATTACTTTGAGCACCAAAAATGCCAGCTAGTTTGCTGGTCTGCACACAAACATGTACACTTCCCTCCTGCACTTCCCTTTAACAAAGAGGCCTTTAAGTGACCGACTGGAGAAGTAATGTATGAATGCGGTGAGCAGATGCTGTCATGCGTGGGCCCTGCAACAGCTCCACCACAAAGACAGCCCATTCTCAGCTTACGTCCTGCCTGTTCCCTTCCAAAAGCTCCCCTTGCTGCAAGTTTCACAAGCCCCATCTCCAGTCCCTTCTCCAGATGGATTCAAATCCATCAATATCCCTCCTTTCCAACTTTGAAGGGGAGTGGTCTATTCCACAGGACTAAAGACCATAAAGGAGGCTCTAAGAACATTCAGGGGTTTTCTTTTGGGATGGGGGGGGCATTTATCAGTGGAGAGGGCTGGAACAGATGCAAATTTTAATTGGACCAGACAAAACAGATCTCCTAGGACACAGAAATACATGGAAAAAAAATAATAATAAGGAAGAACTCTATTATTGCTCTCCCACCAGTCTTTTCAACAGTTTGAATGTTTAGGCAACACCGGTCGTTCCAAACATACACAGAGTAGTAAGCAACCGGGTTGGATCTGTTTGCAAAAAGGGTGGGAAGGCAAATTATTATTATTATTAGAAAGAAAAAGGGGGAAGGGGAGGTCCTTCCAGGCTCTGCAACTCAAAGGGCCTCCTTAACTTAAAAAAAATAGGAAGAAGAATAGGGGGGGGGGAATCTGATCTCTTCTGGGCAACAGCAATGAAGGCTTCTCTAATACTGCAAAACTGGAGCTTTGTGAAGGCAGGGGTGGGGAGAGAATGAGAGAGAGAGAGAAAGAGACTGCATTTGCCCCCCTCCCATTTCACTCCCTTTTAAAGGGTTTTGCACGCAGCCTCCCCCCCCCGCCCCGCGAACAAATAAAGGCACCTCGCGAAGTCTGCTGCATGCAAATCCGCATTTTTTTTCCAAGCACAGTCCCCGAGTTTAAAGATCATTTCCAAAGATCGAGAGACTGCAGTTGTCTGAATACGGCAGTCACCTCGGATAACCCTCCAGCCGGGACACCAGCGCGCGTGTCTAGGCTCCCAGCCGCAACACACAAACACACCACAC